CTGGTTTGCTAACAGTAATAATCAATAGGTTTTATTGTGCATTAGATAGAGGTAGAATGGTTAAGGCTATCACTCTTGACACTTCTAAAGCTTTTTATAAATTTTAAGCTTCCTTCTTATGGTGTATCTGGTAACATCTTTAGGATTATTGAATCCTTTCTTTCCAATCTTAGTATAAAAGTTGTCCTCGATGGACAGCACTTTTCTTCATATCGGGCGGACACGGAAAAATCCGGTCAACTTTAAATTGAGATTTCCCTGAAACCACAAAAGTTTTTTATTTCTTTTATTTTTTTAATTAAACATTATTTCCTTATATTTAATTGTGTTGATAAACATTTGTTTACAAATCAATGATTTGCCAAATGTTTTGAAAACAAATTGAGATGCATAAAAACGATGTGATTTTTTTTTTTGCAAATATCCATCAACTTTATATCGCTTGATTGCTAAAGATACAGATGTCACAAAATATGCAGTCATAGATATTATAAATAAGTTTAAGACTACTCAAAGCTTCAAAAGGAAAACCTGGGAGTGGAAAAAAGTAAACTTTTCATAAATTCAAAAAGGTTTAGTTGATTCTAAGTTTAATAGCAATAAATCCAAACCAGTCACAGTGAGATCTATCAAGAAAATTCAAAACTTTGTGTTCTTATATGAAAAAAGTACTTAAAAATGCTGGAATTGAGCCATTTCATAAGAAAAATACACTTAAGAGAAGCTTAAAAGGTGAACTAAAAGGAATAGAACGTGCAAAAAAACTGGCTTAAGTTTTGGTGGATAAATGTATGACGACGAAACCTATTGCAATGCGGATTTTTCACAACTTCTTGGTTAACAATTTTTCTACTTAAACAAAGATAAACCTGTCAATGATCTATTTAAATATATACAACGATTTTTATCAAACTTTTTTGTCTAGTAAGCAATTTGTAGCTGTGGTATGCAGTCCTCCTGTTTTATCACTAAAAAGACTTTTACTGTCGATTTCTACATCAAAGAATGCCTCCAAAAAAGACTTTCGCCATTTATAAAAAAACACAAAACCGATGTTTCTTTTGGCCAGATCTTGCTGCTTCTCACTATTGTAAAAAAGTTCTACACTGGTGCAAAGATAATAATGTGAAAATTGTTGCTAAAGATGTGAATCCTCTGAATCATCATGAGGAGCAAAAGTTTGAAGATTTTCTACCAATAGTTAAAAGAGTTATTTGTAAGACAGGTGGAGTAACAAAAACTATAAAAGACTTCCAAAAAAGTAGATTAATGCCACCAATAACGTGAAAATTAAAAAAATCTGCAAAATGATTGCTTCAACCCGCTATAAAATTCAATTCTTTGGCAAACAGCCCCTCAAACTAATGGAAACACATTTAATATAAAAAATAATTATAAATAAAAATAAATAAAAAGCATTTATGATTTTAGAGAAATCCCAAATCCCAAAAGTTGACCGGATTTTTCCGTGTCTACTTGATATCCTGTAACTTTAAGGGTTCCTCAAGGTTCAATCCTTGGTCCTATACTCTTTTTAGTTTAATTAACGATCTTCCAAATATTCTCACATCTAAGGTGGCATTGTTTGCTGATGATACTACCATTTATTTTTCTCATGATAAGAAGCCAACACTCTCTAATTGCGCGGAGGGAGCATCTGAGCTTGAAAAAGATCTTACTTCCGCTACAGCATAGGGCTCACAGTTGCTGGTGAACTTTAATTCAGATAAAACACAATTTTTTTCAGTTAATTGTTATCAGATCTCTTTATATTTATGAATGGCAATGTACTTGATGAGTCATGTTCGAGGATTAACTCTTACTTCTGATCTTTCTTGGAAACCGTATATAAAATCAATTGCAAAACTAGCATCTGCTAAGTTTGCATCTCTTTATCATGCTCACTTTCTTACTCCAAGTTCTATTCTTTATCTCTATAAATCTCAAATCTGTATTTGTATGGAGTACTGTTGCCATATCTGGAGTGGATCTTTTAATGATGCCCTTTCTCTTTTAGACAAGGTGCATAAATGCATTGTAAACATAGTTGGACCTGCTCTTGCAGTTAATTTCTAACCATTATCACATAGTCCTTATGTAGCTTCTCTTTCACTTTTTTACTAATGCTATAATGAGCACTGCTCTAAAGAGCTAGCTTCTCTTGTGCCACTACTAAAATTTATTCTTGTTTTACTTGTCATTCAATTAAAGTTCATCCTTTTTCTGTGACTGTTCCTAAGTTCTCTAAAAACTCTTATTTGTCTAGTTTTTTTCCTCAAACATCAGTTCTTTAAAATTTGCTCCTTTTGTCTTGCTTTCTTGATTCATATAATTTGTAATCTTTTAAGTTATCTGTCAATCATTATCTTGCTTTGCAAACTTCATCTTTTCTCTTCCAGTAACTTCCAACTCATAAATAGTGGTTACTTGCAGTCTTGTTGGAAGCGAAGTTGTTAGAAATATATACATATAAAAAATATTAAAGTTAATTCACTCGAAAAATAGAAAGATTTTGTTGAGAAGAAGAAAAAAGATAAATTTTTTTGAAAGTTGTTTGAGTTAAATAACTTTGATCTTTGCTTATGTTTTTATATTATTGAAATGCGTTTAAATATAGTAGTTTATCAAGGCTAATAATTTTTTATACTAAATATATTTTTTATACTAATGAATAACATGTATATATATATATTTTTTATATTTATATAAGTATGTATTTTATTTTTTTATTTTTGTTTTAGTTAAGTTTTTTTTTTTTTTTTTTTTTTGCAACGGTTTTATTTATTAAAATAAAACTATTGCACTTTCATTTGCCTTATTACACAAAAGTTAATCATACACTTTATGAACATTATAGATGCAGTCTTATAATATGTTTACTAGAAATTTACTTTTTTGTAAAAAATAAAAATAAAGGAAGAAAAAATTCAAAAAAAAGTTACGATAAAAATAATCATATATTTTTTTTAAGAAAATTTATATTTATTAAATAATATTTATTATGCAATATTAACTATGCACACTTTAATAAAATAGACAGTAAATTATGTTATACCTAAACATCAGCTTTAATTTTATTATCTATATAAATTTATCTTGAATTTATTTATTATTATCTTATAATTTAGAAAAAACTGCACACTCTGTCAATTATATAAAGCTGATGTAACGACTATAAAGTATTTTTCTAAACTATTATTTTTCAAAAAATATCAACAAAGACATTGCAATAGCTATATTGCTTCAAGCGTAAATACGTGTAATAGTTAAATAAATAAAAAACTTCTTCTCTGGATATAAGTCTAATATTATTTTTTCAATACAATCAAGGAGTTTAGATCATTTAGGGATCATCCTTAAGTTATGTAACGTTTTTCATTAAATTTTTTTTTATTAAAATTGTCTGTTCTGTTTTTTATTTAAGTTAAGGCTCTGCGTAAAAAAACTTTTGACCTTTTTTGTTAAAAAAATCAGGAACTGTTACACAAAATAAACAAACAATCACATTTGTAATCGCATGTTGTTTTTTTTTCTATGTTTTTTGCACTACTTTTTTTTTATTTTTTCTAATCAATATTTAAAAAAAAAGGAAAAAATGTAGTTTATATTTATAAAAAATTATACTTTTGCCGGAGCCATATATTGCTCCCATAAACCATTTTAGCGGAGTGTGGGTGAGAGCGAGAGCTAAATTTTTTTTCAGTTAGTATATTAAGAAAATACTTTACAATTTGAGCTAGAAACATGGACAATTTTTAAATTTGCTTTTTAAATGTTTTTAATCTTTACTGTTTTTATTGATGCACTGGAAAATGAGGAAACTAATTGCTATTTATTTGTAAAAAAAATTATTTTTTTTTTTACAAGTTTTTTATGTAAAAAAATAAAAAGTCTTTAATAGTAATATTTAAATATAAAGTATTTGGTTGTTTTTAGTACCCCCATTGAAATAGTCTACACCTTTTTAGAATTATCCAAATTGTGCATTTAAACCCAATAGTTTATTTCCTGATGAACTATTGTTACTGACTATACTCCAAAATCTTGTGTGCTAGTGAATTGTTACTTTACTGAACTTTTTTAACAAAATGTTTACTATCCTATTGAAAACTTTTTTTTAAGTTTTTAAATACATTTTTTTAAACAAAGCAATCATTATGTTCATTATCTCTAGTAATTTGTATTAACATTGGAAATTGGGCGTTATAAAAAAAACAATTTCAGACATGCATCAAATCCGATAAATACATTTATAAATAAACCATATTGTTTTTTTTAATTTATTCGGTCATTACATAAATTATTAAATAAATAATATATTTTACAAATAAATAACAATTTATTTTCTTATTTTCCTATTATATAACTTTCAATTGTTGTTAAACTTTTATAAAAGATGTTTTTTTCAACAACGACTCTAAAAAAAATGTGGACAAACAAGGCTTGTGACCGCCCACACTTCCTGGGAAGGTAGGTCAACATAATGGGCAAGTTGGAGAATATAAGTATTTTTTCTTTTTTTAGTTAGCAAAATTCATTAGGCACCACCACCAACCCCCTTTCTTCACACCTACTCCTTTACCCCTCCCTCTCTTCACACCTGCTTGCGCTAGTCTTGTTCTTATCAACCATGGTTTAAATATAAAAGTTGAAATTTAAGCCTGCTTTTGTTTACAAATCTTTTTTACTAAACAAAATTTTAAATCATAATAAATATAATCTTGCATTTTAAAACTTATTGGTGGTGTTAAGGTTTCTTTTTGGTGGTGTTAAGGTATGTCCTTAATCAATATTTTATTTTTACAATATGTCAGTATATCAAATAAATTGTTGTGTTAATATGTATACAATTAATATTAATTGATATCTTTTTAAGTTATTTGAAACAATATTTATTAACTATTTAATTTTTTCTAAATTTATGAGCATACCACTGTGATGCTATTTTCTAAGTTCTTATCAGAAAATGTAAATTGTGGTTTTTCTTATATCTCTTTTAGAAAAAACGAGTCGAAGCAGAGGAGGAACGAAAAAAAATTCAGTATGCAATAAAGCAGAAAGAAGAAGCTAAAAAAAGAATCAGAGATAATAAAATAAAACTTTTTGGTTTTGTGGAGCCTGCCCAAGTATTAAAAAAAAATATTATTTCTTTATTTCAAGAAAACAAAGACAAAAATAATCTGCCACAATGTGTTACTACACTATTGTCTCAAGTTTCCACATGTTTTAGTCAGTTAACACAAATTGTTAATGATGGCGTAAATGGTGAAAAAGAAGATTTAAATATTGAGATAAAACAAGCTTCTCATTTGTTAGAATGCTTGGAAAAACTTTTTAAAGCTTGTGAAACAGAGAAAGAAAAAATCCAGCTTGATTATATTAATGATAAAAAAATAAAAGCTGAAAAAGATCTGGCTTTTGCTTCCACCAACAATGTCAAAGTTTCTACATCCCAACCTGATATTCAACATTCAGTTGCACAATCAGTTGCAAAAACAACAATTACTCCTGAATATACTGTTGTTAATAAAGACAATTTTAACATTGATTTTCCACCTGAGCTGGAAAACATTAAAACTTTACTGTTGCAGGATATTAATCATTACACTGATGTATTTGCATTTAAAGGGTATTTACAATTGAATCAACTTCTATCACAAATTGAGAAACAGTGTGAGCCATTAGATAAATCTACTACACAAGAAAAAAAAAACTATAAGTTTAATTTATACAAAGTAATAAATACAACAATAAATGCAATATCTGATGAAAGTTCCAAACATTTGTTGGCTAAGTTATTAAAGTTATTTTCTTTACTTACTGAACAGACGGTAGAGATTGGCAACAAAACTGTTAATACCAAGTTGGATCCACTTGCATTAGTAAGATTTTTTTTAAGTTGATTTAATTTAATGTTTTTAAATTTTTTTTGTACCAGTGTTTCTAAGCTTGGGTTTCAATATTGGCTAGGATGACTCTTAAAAATAGAAATGTACCTTGTACATCTGTATGCTATCAACACATACCTCCTCTTCTATGCAAACATATGCATATTCATTACAATATCAACCCCTCCTTACCTGGCCTAACATTTTTTCGAATTCAAAACATTAAAATCAAAAAAAAATTCAATTTATTTGACATATCTCTGTTGCATAATATATGTTGATTTTATATATTTGTTAAATTTTTTTTTTATTCCCGCAAACTACTTTTTTTTCATATACATAATTGTTTATTTTATTTTTATTTTATGTCTATTTTTATTTATACATATTTAAATTTAATATTTTTTTATAAAAATATATATATTTTTTTATTATTTTGTTGTTTTTATTTAAATATTATATATCATGTTTCATTTTTTTATCTATTTACAAAACAATTTATTACATTAATTTAACCATATTTAAACCTTGCCCTAACACTAACCTTTAGCCTGACCTTAATTCTGATCCTAACCAAACTCTCAACTAAACATAGCAGCACTCTTAGCGGCAGCAGGTTATAAGATATTTTATGTACGTTCTTTTCATTATGTTTAAACGTTGCTTCTGGGTACTTTTTTTTTTTACAAAAAAAAAAACAATGCTTGTTAGAACAAAAGGTCCACAGGTACACAGAAATGTTCCCGACCTGCAAACTCAATTTTCTGAAGCGAGGGCCATTCAATACTTTTTACTAAGCGCTTATAAAATCAAATTCAACCAAAAAATGTTTTGTAAAACCAATGTAACATAATTAAAATAATTTTATAGTGAATATAAGTTAGTATTATTAAAAACTTAATAACAAAGTAAAAATTATTAACAAAGAAAAAACATTTTTCAAAAGAATAAAAAGTTCATATAATAAAAGCCAGTATATAAAATTCTATAAGCAAATTAACAACATGTTACCTATATATGTCTACCTATAAATAAATATTACTTGGCGAGGCGTGCCTTTTTTTATTGATGTCTGATAAAGACATGCATTTTTTACTTGGTTTTTTTCCAAATTTTGAATTCCATGCAAAAGAACATTAGTTAAACGCCTATATAGATTTTTTGATGATAAAGCAAAATAATAATATGTATTCATTATAGACAGAACATTTATTAGTCTTTTTCTACAACACACTCATTGTTTAGTTTTTTTCCCAAAGCATAACCCACATCTAACTAGCTGGTAAGTACATTCATGAGGAACTGTTAAATATCTTTGTGAAACCTCTTTAATGAAGTCTTTAGCTTCATTTGTTAGTATAGGTTCATCCTCAGCATAAACTAGTTCACTCTCACATTTTTTCTCCAGCCACCCTGCCACATAGGCAGCAGAGCTCTCTTCAGTTTCTGAAAGACTCACATCATAAATGCGTTTTAATTGAAGTCGCATCTTCAAAACTGATTGGACCTTCACATGTGTGATCTTTTTTATTGGGTCATCTTACTTCCACTAATTCTAGAAACATTACAACAAATTGAGTTAAACGCTTTTTAAAAGCAGAAAAAACATCCCCAGTTGTCATAAAAGCATTTGCCCCTGTTGATTGTCTGTAAACAGAAAGTTCTTCTTTGATTCTGTCACTTTGTAGCTCATGAAGCAAGACGTAATCAAAACCAACTGAAAACAAATGCTTGCAGACAGCTATCAATCCTTTAGTGATTTGCACAAGAGTTTTTTTTGTATTGTGGGTAACACATTGAATTTGATTGGGTTCATGCCCTGATTTCATAGATTTAAATAATTCTAAAAATAATTGCTGATTATTTTAATTTTTATCTTGCACAGATTGGTTGTGGTCTCAGTCTACTATTCTGCCCTTTTGCAGAAGCATTAACAATATTCTAGCAATCTAAAACCTGTTGAATAAAAGTGGATGTTTTATGAGCTCCTTTTAGTTTCAAAGCAGCTATTACTTTCTCATTAAATATTTTTAAAACATGTTGCAAATTCTGTAGCTGAAGTCTAGAAGGATAAACAGCAGCATGGGATATAGGAACTGATTTCAAAATGTTATCTTTTTCTTAATGATATAGGTTTTTGACATCAGAATAGGAACCAATGGTTTTATTGCCAAGAGATTACTTTTGACACTTTTCAGATATCCAGTTTTTACACAAACATTTAAAAAGATGAACTGTGTCAAACAAAAGAATGCTAACACGCTGACCATCTAATGGATGGACAGCCTGATAGTCAGTAATTCTTTTGAAAATTTTGCAGTATTGCTGATTGATTTTATGATTACATGTTACAGCAAGGAGCATTAAAAATACTTGGTGCACATAGTGGTCGAGTTCTAATTTTTTTTAAACAATTTGTATTCTTAAACAACGACGACAACAAATGTGTTTCAATAAACTTTTTTTAAAATTACTTTTTGATAATTCAAATCAAGTTAGTTTTTTATTAAATGATAATTAGATATAAGTTTTTTTTTTTTATTTAAAAGAGTTCACCTAATTTTATAAAAACATTAGAAATGATCAAAGTTCTTTACATTGGTTTTGTATTAAACATTAGAAATGATCAAAGTTCTTTACATTGGTTTTGTATTAATTTTATAAAAACATTAGAAATGATCAATTTTGTATTAATTTTGTATAAAAACATTAGAAATGATCAAAGTTCTTTACATTGGTTTTGTATTAATTTTATAAAAACATTAGAAATGATCAAAGTTCTTTACATTGGTTTTGTATTAATTTTATAAAAACATTAGAAATGATCAAAGTTCTTTACATTGGTTTTGTATTAAACATTAGAAATGATCAAAGTTCTTTACATTGGTTTTGTATTAATTTTATAAAAACATTAGAAATGATCAAAGTTCTTTACATTGGTTTTGTATTAATTTTATAAAAACATTAGAAATGATCAAAGTTCTTTACATTGGTTTTGTATTAATTTTATAAAAACATTAGAAATGATCAAAGTTCTTTACATTGGTTTTGTATTAATTTTATAAAAACATTAGAAATGATCAAAGTTCTTTACATTGGTTTTGTATTAATTTTATAAAAACATTAGAAATGATCAAAGTTCTTTACATTGGTTTTGTATTAATTTTATAAAAACATTAGAAATGATCAAAGTTCTTTACATTGGTTTTGTATTAATTTTATAAAAACATTAGAAATGATCAAAGTTCTTTACATTGGTTTTGTATTAATTTTATAAAAACATTAGAAATGATCAAAGTTCTTTACATTGGTTTTGTATTAATTTTATAAAAACATTAGAAATGATCAAAGTTCTTTACATTGGTTTTGTATTAATTTTATAAAAACATTAGAAATGATCAAAGTTCTTTACATTGGTTTTGTATTAATTTTATAAAAACATTAGAAATGATCAAAGTTCTTTACATTGGTTTTGTATTAATTTTATAAAAACATTAGAAATGATCAAAGTTCTTTACATTGGTTTTGTATTAATTTTATAAAAACATTAGAAATGATCAAAGTTCTTTACATTGGTTTTGTATTAATTTTATAAAAACATTAGAAATGATCAAAGTTCTTTACATTGGTTTTGTATTAATTTTATAAAAACATTAGAAATGATCAAAGTTCTTTACATTGGTTTTGTATTAATTTTATAAAAACATTAGAAATGATCAAAGTTCTTTACATTGGTTTTGTATTAATTTTATAAAAACATTAGAAATGATCAAAGTTCTTTACATTGGTTTTGTATTAATTTTATAAAAACATTAGAAATGATCAAAGTTCTTTACATTGGTTTTGTATTAATTTTATAAAAACATTAGAAATGATCAAAGTTCTTTACATTGGTTTTGTATTAAACATTAGAAATGATCAAAGTTCTTTACATTGGTTTTGTATTAAACATTAGAAATGATCAAAGTTCTTTACATTGGTTTTGTATTAAACATTAGAAATGATCAAAGTTCTTTACATTGGTTTTGTATTAATTTTATAAAAACATTAGAAATGATCAAAGTTCTTTACATTGGTTTTGTATTAAACATTAGAAATGATCAAAGTTCTTTACATTGGTTTTGTATTAAACATTAGAAATGATCAAAGTTCTTTACATTGGTTTTGTATTAAACATTAGAAATGATCAAAGTTCTTTACATTGGTTTTGTATTAAACATTAGAAATGATCAAAGTTCTTTACATTGGTTTTGTATTAAACATTAGAAATGATCAAAGTTCTTTACATTGGTTTTGTATTAAACATTAGAAATGATCAAAGTTCTTTACATTGGTTTTGTATTAAACATTAGAAATGATCAAAGTTCTTTACATTGGTTTTGTATTAAACATTAGAAATGATCAAAGTTCTTTACATTGGTTTTGTATTAAACATTAGAAATGATCAAAGTTCTTTACATTGGTTTTGTATTAAACATTAGAAATGATCAAAGTTCTTTACATTGGTTTTGTATTAAACATTAGAAATGATCAAAGTTCTTTACATTGGTTTTGTATTAAACATTAGAAATGATCAAAGTTCTTTACATTGGTTTTGTATTAAACATTAGAAATGATCAAAGTTCTTTACATTGGTTTTGTATTAAACATTAGAAATGATCAAAGTTCTTTACATTGGTTTTGTATTAAACATTAGAAATGATCAAAGTTCTTTACATTGGTTTTGTATTAAACATTAGAAATGATCAAAGTTCTTTACATTGGTTTTGTATTAAACATTAGAAATGATCAAAGTTCTTTACATTGGTTTTGTATTAATTTTATAAAAACATTAGAAATGATCAAAGTTCTTTACATTGGTTTTGTATTAATTTTATAAAAACATTAGAAATGATCAAAGTTCTTTACATTGGTTTTGTATTAATTTTATAAAAACATTAGAAATGATCAAAGTTCTTTACATTGGTTTTGTATTATAAAAACATTAGAAATGA